AATACATGTTTTAGTTACTGGGTTTCCTTTGTGGATAGCTATTCTATCTATTGGTTTGATATGTACCTTTTACACAACACTGGTATGTACAGTGCTTTGTATTATTATTTTTAATTAATTATAGGATTGCTAACACCTTTTATTAAATTTGTGAAAAATGTTTTTTATACAATAGGAAAATATAAGATTCCTTAGAAATTTAGTAATAACTCTAAGATTCCTTAGAATTTTCCTAAAAGACATTGAAACTTGTGCTTGTTCRAAGGGTATTACTGACTTTCTTCTCTGACCTTGAAAACTCAAGTTTTTTTGTGTGTGTAAATATACTTATATTTTTTCTTKCTCTTTCATCTCCTTGAAAAGATCTTACAGACTTTCAATACATCTAACTCGAATTATATATTTTTTGGTTCGTAATCTGATTGACAATTGATTGACAAACTCGAGTGTTCATGGTTAGAGTAGAACGACAGTAATTAGTAGGGAAACTGTAATATTTTACTGATATTAAAGAAAGCATTTTTTAGAATATTTTTTTCTGCTGTCATGTATTAGGGTGGCATGAAGGCGGTCATCTGGACGGATGTATTCCAGGGTATAGTCATGTTGATTGGTCTGTTTGTTATCATTATCGTTGGGACATCCCATGTTGGTGGGATTTCTAAAGTCTTTGAGATTGCAAGAAATGGGAGTAGGCTGGATTTTGAGTAAGTTTATATCARGCCATTTGCATTATAGCATATTGAACTACAACTACCAGAATCCCTTGCACACTTTTTTGYTCTTGAGATAATATAGCACCAATTGTCTCACTCCTATCAAAGTCATGAGGAAATACATGTTTTGAAATCGGAAATTTGCAACTCAGGCATTTCTGTAGTGGTAGAAAAATGCAATTAAAAGGGCAATTAGATTTAATTCTTGTGCCCCACCCCACCTCTAGTGGTTGARTATGTCTACTTTTGTGTAGTTCTAAAAATATCCATATCCCCACCAAGGAGGGAATTCATAAAATGAYCCCCCTACCCCCAAGAACATTCAATTTTCTTCCATGCAAACTCTGTTCTTTCAATGACTCCCCTCCCCTCCAAAATTTCCAGTTTCCTCAGTGTGTGGGGTATGGATATTTTCTGGAACTACACATGTAAAATTTAAAAAAACGCCAAATGATTTTCAAATTTCCGTTATTTATTTTCCTCATTTTCAACCCTTACTTTCCAGGATTTACTGAGATCCTTTAGATATGTAAATTGATGGTATACTGATCAGTTATTGACTGGGGTTTCTGTTTTTTTTTATTACACAGTTATTCTTTTGACCCAACACATCGTCTTACATTGTGGATTGTTGTTTTTGTTGGAGTATTTCAAAATCTTCCTGTTTATGTGACCAATCAGACAGCAATACAAAGGTTTTTAACTACAAAATCATTGAAAAGTGCTAGAAGGTATGTCATGTATAATATCTGAAAACATTTCTATACTTGTACATTTTAGTTAGATCTTTTGAACCAAAAAAATCAATAAAATCCCTTCTAGCTTTGGCATCATGTTTTCCCATTTCATACCATGTGTCATTCCTTAGACTGTCATTCATTTTTTRTAATGCATCTTTGTAAATCAGTCATTACTGAAGAATATCTGTGTCAAATAAAGTTTATTATTACTATTATTATTACTATTATTATTATTATTATTATTATTGTTATTATTATTATTGACAGTCACATGTTGAGATGACATCTTCCTCTGAAATGGAAAATATTACGCCTAGGCTGAAAGGTTTCTTTTTAATTAATTCTGTCTGTTTAGGGCTGTATGGGCAAACATGCCTCTAACATGGCTTAACATGATCATTACTACACTAGTGGGACTTGTACTCTATGCTTACTATGCGACATGTGATCCAATGGCRTCTGGCCACATCAAAAAAAGAGATGAAGTAAGTAAAGATCTTTTTTAATAGTACATTTTGGGAACCATGGGTAGCGTAGTGGTGAGAGCACTTGTCTCTCACCAATGTGACCCGTGTCCTGTGCGCGCATGATGTTGTATGACAGTAGAGTTACTTGTTGGTTTTCTCGCTCAAGGATTTTTCTCTGGGCTCTCYGGTTTTCCGCCCTCTGTAAAAAYAAACTTCTAATTCAAATGGAAATCCAGTGAAAAAAAGAGCTACTTTATGGAAACCACTAATATAAGTGCCATTATTTTTTCGTTTTAATTTATTCATTTATTTCTGGTACCTCTCAATGGAGTGCTAGAGCATGGCTTTAGAGGTTATGGTTRGTCTTTGCTCTCAGAAGTTCCACAAATACACACTGCTAACCCTTGAAAATGTCTCTCCCTTCCTTTCATTAACAAGACATGAATAGTTTGATTCTAGAGCTAAGATYATCTGTCTGTTAGGTTGTCTATCAAATGTTTACTAAATTTACTAAACTGTCATTCATAACTGGTTATCTTACCAATAGATCTTRCCGCACTTTGTAGTCAATGTTCTTGGTAAAAGTGTTCCTGGACTGCCTGGAGTCTTTGTAGCTTGCTTGTTTTGTGCAACATTAAGGTTTGTTGGATAAACATGGTTTATTTATTCATCACTATATTTTGAATGTTAAATTGTTCTTATTTCGATTCCCTGGACTTACCATCATAATTATATGAGTAGAGAGGGTTGCTGGTTCTCTTCTGTGCTTCAAGGTTTTTTGCTACAAGTACTCCGGCCATTAAGAAAAGCACCATCGCCACCATAATATTGCTTGGGCTGCCTGTGGTTAGATGACAGAATAATAAAATCCCCTTGCTCCTGGGAATTGAATTCTTTCTCATGTAAAACRAGTTGTATTGTTCCTGCCACCTAACATAGCTGCTGTCACGTGCTGGTGATGGTGCAATGGTGCAAAACCTCTTSTTATAGTACTACCCTTGTAAAACAAGGACAATATTTATTCATTTTTGAGAAAATCTTAACAAAGATTTTTTTCCATAGTGTGGACTAGTAAATAGTGTAGTTAATGATATATAGGTAAACTATGATTTTATTATTTCTGCAGCACAGTGGCATCTGGACTGAACTCCTTGGCTGCAGTAACTGTAGAAGATTTTGTTTCCTATTTCAAAGCCATTCCACGTGAAAGGGAAACTTTTTATTCTAAGCTTATAGGTAGGTGTAAGATATAACAGACCAAATTGGTTATCGTAACATGCCACTCCCTTGAGTATTATATCTTTGTTTATTAATCAGATTCAAACAGATTTGTTGTATTTGAAGAGTGATCTTTGATGTCATTCATGAAATTACATCAAATGAGATAATATTMAGATGGAATAAAATTTATTTTTTCGTACRAACTACATCCAGGACCTGAGTAACATATTTTCCATATCTTAACTAGTGAGGATATCGATGACATCACTTGCRATGTTTTCCCGCATGCTTGAGCGCGCGTTGTGTTTTTCTTTGTGGATTTGTCTATATAATAAAGAGAAAATTACATGTTGGCTTGAAGATATGAAGTTTATMTYCTGGTGTTGAAAAATATTTCACTTGTTTGCTGCACTCACTCRTGACATATCCTCCACCACTCGAAGATAAACATCAAGATATGATATCTTCGCAGCACCATGTAAAATCCTCTATTTATGAAATTCAGGACACCATTTTTAATCAATAAAGATTGAATTGATGATGATGATGTTGATATCTCAGTCAGTAATCTTATAGCCCAATTTTATCTTAGTTTTAGTGTTTGGTCTTATATCCTTGGGACTAGCATTTCTTGCATCCAAACTTGGCATGATCCTGCAGGTAGGTCCGATAGGTCCAATAAGAAAATGTTCACAGTGCTAGCCAATCAAACTCCACAAAAAACACACTATCCAATCACATTCCTCAAATATGGAAACCCATTTACAAGGGATGTTAGAAAGTCATGTTGCAAAAGATCATACCTGTTAATTATAAAAAATTATGTCATAAATGTGACTTTTTTATAATGTCATTTTATATTACCAAGATTGGTTGAAACGGGACTTGTATCTGCATGCACACACACTATATTGTCATCATGTGCATTTAGGATAATAGCTATAAAAATCTTGCCTGCCTTACCTGCCTTGCCTGCCTAGGGGATCAATTGTGGAACATTAAAAAATTCACCTACACTCTATTTACCATGATGTAATTMAACATTAAAAACAGAATATTCATGGCTTCTCACATGTTCTGTCAATTCTGTGCTTTTTTATTCTTCATCTTAAATTCTTTGTCTTTTTGATCATCGTAGATGAGTGCTACAATGTTTGGAGTAATAGGGGGTCCAATGCTTGGATTATTTACCCTTGGAATCTTAACAAAAACAGCAAATACTAAAGTAAGTTTTCCTCTATTTAATTTTTTATCATTTTATTTAAAAAAAAACAGCTTTAATTATTGGCCTTCAAATTTCTCAATCACCAAAATAATTAACAAACATTTTGAAGGGGGGAAAAAAACGATACAAGAAAGAATGACCAAGAGGGTGGGCACGAAACGGAACCTAGAGTCCCATGCTAGGCACCTCCCCTCTCTATTAGACCTCTTTTAATTTTGGGCATAATGTTTTCCTTCCATTTCAGACCCTGTTTGATTCCCTTCAAAATGAGATTCTTTGTTTCAGTTTGATCAATATTCATGTGTCATCTCATKTACAACCATTAAACAGAGAAATGATAATCTAGGGAATAAAACATGGTCTGAAATGGGAAGACATCATGCCAAAAAAAAGAGAGGTCCGTCGAAGACTCTACTAAGCAATCAGATGCATCATAGGCATCGTAATGTGTATTCAATGTTGTGATTATYGTTATGATACTGAGTCTATCATTACYGCCATTTGCATTGCTACRCGKCCACCCCAGACAAAAAACGCGACATGCACTTTACATGTACGTGCGTTTGGATTGGCCTGGATAGGCCAGGTGAGTGTGGCTCATAATACTTGTAAACAACGGACAAGTTTTGGCGCCTATTGAATCACACACGTGTGTCAATGATGTCAACGTGTTGACGGCAGTCTATTGCAATGTGCAATAGTGCTTGTCTGAGGTGGCCGCATAGCAATGCAAATGGTGGTAAGGACTGCAAATTTAGTAACTTAGTTTTAATACTCTAAATCCTTGGTTTTAGGGTGTCTGGGCAGGTGTCATAGCTGGGTTTTGGGTGGTGACATGGATTGCTATTGGTTCACAAGTGTATCCACCAAACTATCCCATTCTACCAGTGTCTATAGATGGTTGYCTGTCTAATAGTACAGCCATCAATGCCACTATTCCAATAATGCAGTAAGTAGTGGGATTCATAAATTATCAGAAGTTATTGTTTGTCTCTGCAGCTACTGATCCATTTAGTAATCCTCGATCCATCAATCCATTCATCCCATTTAATACCTATCATCCATTCCATGCTGTCATTCCCTCTGTCCATCCATCCTTCTATCCCATCCTTCCATCCATCCACCCATCCATTCTCCCATCCATCCCATCATTCCCCTAGTATATCTATCCATCCCATCAATCCACCCATCCATCGATTAAGCAATCCATCCATTCATTTATCCATCATATATATATATATATATTGTGTCCTATCTATCCTATCTGTGCATCTCATTTTATCTCATTCAGTCATCCATCCCATCTATCTTATCCATCCATCTCATACCATCCATTCCATTTGTCTATCCCATTCACCATCCATCCATCCATGCATTTATCTTAAAAGTATTTCTCTATTAACATCAGTAAATCTCAGTAAATCCCATATTCCATCTGTCCTTTCCATTCCATACATTGAATAAAAAAGAAATGTTTTATGTTATTTGTCTGTTTCTCAGGAAATCAAGCCACACAATATACAATATTTCATTCTTTCTTTATGGACCCATTGGTTTCATCTTTACAATGCTTGTTGGTTATATCGTCAGTTTTATATTTAGTAAGTAAAAGTAACAGATTCTTTTATGATTTGAAGCTATAACACTGGTTTGTGTTTACAACCATTAGTATTGTGATGTTAATTTGCCAATCATTATCACAATAACTCTTGCCAAGTTGCTAATCCATTTCTGGTTGACATTTTTATGACAACAGGTTAAATCACAGCATAGCCCTACACCCATTTAATTTTGCTTGAATGAAAGAATTGCTGTTAGAATGATATGGTCTGTTGTTTTTCGAAGAATTGAAGTATCACACCAGTAGTGTGACTGTTACACAGGGAGCCCACAGCAACAATATTTAAAATAAAATCTATCATGCATTTAGTTATTGCTGTTTCACACGTTTTAAAAATTGCACGAGCGTTTAGATCCTCGAGCGGTGGCATTGTGAAACAGCATGTGACTGTTGTTAACYAGTTACTATGTTTAAATCTTCAGGGAGTGATAACTATCACATTATAGACTCACGTCTAGTCTTCGATTACTCTTCTGTCTTCAACTGTAATGGGAATTGTAAAAGAAGAGATGAAACTCTCTTGGATGARCTGGACAGTGACCAGGTAAATACTGTCAGTTATAATTACAATATAGTACATTATACTGTACTCTTATTGATCTAGCCTGCTTCACATCCAGAATTTTTTTCATAAATACCGTACGAAGAAAATTCTGGATGTGACGCAGGCTATATTGATCAGATAATACCGAAATGTTTTCAAAATTTAGCTACTACTTCCAACATCCAACATACAATCAGAAGAAAATTGTATTTATAATTTTAGTTCTTTAAATAATCTCTTAAATTTATTTACGTTTATTTAACTTTTTAATTTTCAAAATTAAACGTAACCACTTTTCAGGTCACATTTATTAACCAACTAGGAAGGTAAAACGGATCCACACTGACTGACCAACACAGCACCAACCATAATGGTATTTCAACTCTAATAACCTGGACATGATAATATAATAAATTAATACTGATAAAATAATAATGTTGTCTACTTAAATAATAATAATGTGATTATATTAAATATGAAGATAAAAACCATAGCACTAATACCCATAAATAATTTGACGATGATAACKTAATTCATATCATTAAACACAAAACACCTAAAAATGTTTCTAAACTACACAAATGCTGATAATGATGATATTGGCGTCAGCGTTGGCTTTGGCAAAGATGATAATGATGGTGGTGGTGGTGCTGAAGATGATGGTGGTGGTAGGTTGATGATGATGGTGTTGGTAATGTTGATGAATGATGATTGTGATCAGATGATGATGGTAGTGATGCATGATAATGATGAAGGTGATGATGGTGATGGTAATGATGATGCCATTTGATAATGATGAAGAAGATGATAAATGATGATAAATGATTAGTGGGATGGATGATGATAATGATGAAGGTGATGATGGTGGTGGTAATGATGATGCCATTGATTGATTGATTGCCAGATGATGATGGTGATGGCAATGATGATAAAATAATGATAAATGATTTCGTGGGATGGATGATGATAATGATGAAGGTGATGATGGTGGTGGTAATGATAATGCCATCTGATAATGATGAAGGTGATGATGGTGATGGCAATGATGATAAATGATGATAAATGATTAGTGGGATGGACGATGATAATGATGAAGGTGATAATGGTGGTAGTGATGATCATAAATGATGATGAATGAATAACACTTTTATATCTTTAAAATAGGAAACTGCTCCCCTATACACTCAAGATGTTAAAATACAGTGAATTCGTAAGGAGATTCAAGTAATCTTGTTATTTATATCTTTTATACAAATATTCAAACATGCTTATTTTTGCAAAATCAGTATGGTGTATTCAAGTTGATAAATTTTCATACAGCTTCTGCTTCTCTTTGTCCTTTGTCCTTTCGTCATTTTCCTGTTTTGTTTTTAAAAAGGCTGTGTTCTTTGTTTTGTCATATAGAAAGAAAAACATTTTGCAGTTTTCATTGCTATTCTTTACACTAATTGCAAAGCAGATAGTGTCAGCTCCATGCTTACATGTGCATAATCACTAATACAGCACAGTTCTTGACCAATCAGAGCGCATGTACTATCTAAGCTATATGATAATTAAGCGATTGACTGAGGTTGACAGCATGAGGTTTGAATAGGG